ATCATTAGGCCATAAGAGTAGAATTAGAAGTGGAGAAAAATGTTATAGCAGTTGTCAAAAAAGTTAAATGAAAAAGTTATTATCTCAGTGAAGTAAACAGTTACATCTTTTTAAAAGGCAGTAAATCGAAGTCTGTAAATTTTGTGTAACAAGGTTAACAAAATTTGAATTTTTGAGATATAATTTTGAGAAATTTTAAGGAGAAATAGTTGTTAGAATTAAATATCAACTTTTAAAAATTTGATTAAATTAATATTTATGAAAATTTTGTTTTGACAGAAAATTATACTCTTTAGCTTTGTATTAGTGTGTTTTCAAGATTAAAATTTAATTCTTAGAAATACTGTTGTAATTTTTAAATTATACATAATTAAATACTTTAAAATTTTAATATAATTTATATAACTAATATATGTTTGGACATTTTAATTTGTGTTTTTAAAATAATTATCTTAAGATAAAATTACATAAGATTTTTCACTGTAAAATTACATTTTAAAGTTTTCTGGGTTTTTTTGTTTTTGTTTGTTTGTTTGTTGTTTGTTGTTGTTGTTGTTTTAAGACAGAGTTTTGCTCTGTTGCCCAGGCTGTCACCCAGCTCACTGCAACCTCCATCACCCAGGTTCCAGTGATGATCCTGAGTCAGCCTCCTGAGTAATTGGGGTTACAGACGTGCACCACTACACTGGCTAACGTTTGCATTTATAGTACAGATAGGGATTCACCATTATGACCAGACTGGTCGCCAACTCCTGGCCTCATGTGATCCCAATATGCTGGGATTACAGGCATGAACCACTGTGCCTGGCTGTTTTATTATTTTTTTAAATAAAAATGTATCTATGTTTATAATTCTTTTTATCTCTCCAATGTGTTTTGTGATTAACCCATAAATAACCTCTGAATTTGGCAAAATTATTTTAATAAACGATATATTTTATGACTCACATTTAAAAAAATTAAAATATTTTATATTTTTTTGGCTTACTTTACACATGGAATTATATATTAATTCCAATTTTTAATTTTTATGAACCATAAATTTTATTAAAAACATAGGATGTAAAAAAATTTAAATAGTCCCTCAGATATTCATATTTTCTAGATGAGAACTATTTTACACGTTTTCAAAATAATTTTTTAAATGTTTATAATTTTGAATAACCTAGATTTTTAATGAACATTATTTATTTTGAAGATTTTAAATTATACAAAAAGTGTAGAATGTGTTTATCTTATATATACGTAATTTATTTAACAGTTTATTTAGATTATTTATGACAACCGAGATACAAAAAAAAGATTTTGATTTTTCTTGATCATCTTTTTGTTAGTAACATTAATACTCTGTAGATGTCAGATGTTCAACTAAGTCAAATATTTAAAGTGAAAAACATGAGAATTTTGTCTATAACTTAGAAGAAACAGCTATTTTATTAAACCAACAATATCAAATTAGTCTTACTGCTTTTAAAATTATATAAATAAGGAATATTTTGGTTTTAGTTGGATTTGCAGTTTACAAATTCTTACACCTTAGTCTATGTAGCAGAGACAAATATAAAATTATATTACCAGTAAACCCTGGTAATACAATTGTTATTTTTTTATTTTATTAATAATATTTAGATATGTGTTGCACAACACATCTTTAGAACATATTCTTGCATAACCGGAACTTCACACCTGTGGACCTGAAAGTTCCCATTTCCTCCCATTTTTAGCTCCTGGCAGCCTCCGCTCTGCTCTGCGTCTCTGGAATTTTAACATGTGAGCACCGAATAAACTTAAACCGAGAACTGACCAAGGGTCAATACCAGGTTGAATATAACATTGCCATAGCAGAAAGGGTGGCTTTAGATACTGTCATTACTTGCAGTTTCTTAGGACATCTTTGAGAAGACGCCATTCCTTGGGGCTTTGGAGCCTTTGAAGAGTGGAGGTGGCGCTCACAAAGACAAATAGGAGAGGCATTTTAGTACAAGAAAGGGGTAACAGGGCTCAGAGCAGGAAAGAGCACCAGTTCCCGGGAGGGCAGAAACCATAAGGGGCCGTTGCAAATGAGGAGGGGAGGGGTGGGAGAGCCCAGCAGGCCATGGGAGGTGATGAGGGTCATAGGAAGAAAGCACATGGAAAAATCACAAGACCGAGAATGAATTTAAAATATATTTAAGAAATACAACCTGTAGGGTAAGTAAGTAACAAGAACAACAACGTAAAAATTCAGACATGAACAAGGTCTCAAGAAAGTGGACACCAGGGGTATTGATTAATACACTTCTGGGTCCTTACTCAGAAAAACATTCGCCTACCTTTTGGACAGTGAAATGAGTAATTCAAATATTTTGCATTTACCTTTAAGAGTTTGTGTTTGAGATTAGTTAGCTTTTGCCATTCTACTATTCTCTATGTACGCGGGTTATCTTTCTTGGGGCTTTCTTCTGTTTGAATAAATCAAAAACAAAACAAAAAATTATTTACAAGATTATCACTTAAAGTAAGTAAGTGGTAAAAATTCCACAAGAAGAATTAACCTATGCTCCTAATCAGTTTCGTAACTTCTATATCTAGAGTTGGAAGAATTATCTACCCCCTCTCATCTTTGTTTTGGTGTTTATTATGGTGACGGTTTAATTAAATATTTGACAGTGAATACAATAAAAACGTTTGCAATTTCCATAGTCTACTAAATGTCCACCGTATTGCATCTAAACAAATTACATGTCATTTTTGTCACTGCAGCTCCCCACATTCACGTGTGATTCCTACAGCAGTTGGTACTAGCTAGGCTTGGCTGCAGGAAGAAATCGACAGAAATCTCTGTGGCTTACAACAACAAATGTTTATTGCTTACTTTTCACCATTCCCATCTCTGGTTGAATTGGCTGTGGCTCTGATTGACTTGATCGCAAAATGCAGGCTGGCTGAGAAATTTCTATAAGAACACTGTGAATGTTACAGCAGAGAGACAATAGAACTCAGCAAAGCACAGGCCAATGTCACATCTACTGCTCAGCGATTACACCTGTCACTTGGCTCATCCCTTTGGGCAATACTAGTCATATGAGCACTCCTCAGTTTTGCGGGATAGAGGGGTCGGTGTTGCAGAAGGAGGTGTTGCAGACTGTGAAGAGAACTTGATTGTTAGCTCCTCTTCATTTCCTGGCTTCAGAGAAACCTCAGGCCCCGCCTGCTTTTCACGGCCTCAGGCATCTCGTAACGAATGGATCACCTCAGCCACCACCTCCATGCAGGAAGTGCAGGGTTTCCAATCTGTTCAACTATGGAGTAGCATTGATATAAGAATCTTAAAATCAAACAAGAATGAAAACGTATACAGAAAGTCTTACATGGAGTAGAATCGCCAGCAAGGACATGCCCTCTGCAAACTTCCAAAGCAGAAAAAAAAAAACTTTTAGTTACATGATATGATAACCAAAAATATATAAAATTAGTCATATAAATTTGAAAACGTCCAGTTGCTTTGTGAGATAACAGTATAAAACGTGATTTTTCATCAAAATTTGAAATAAGCTGGGAACCTCTGCAGCTCTGCCCCTGGCTGATGCCCTGTCACAAAGCTGCACTCCGACCTGCTCGCTTCTGTGTCCTACTTTCTTCCCAGGTACTCCTGCTGAGTTTGGGCCTCTACGAGGAACCCAAGGAAGTGCCAATTAAAACACTGAAGTATCTTTGCCTGCCTGGTTTGCAAGATTAAACGGACTGATAAAGTTCCTGTTGGTGAAAGCTACAGGCACGCTCTTGCTAACCCTAAACCCTGACTGACTCTGACCTCATGCCACTCTTTCCCACAATCCCTCAGGTATGTCCCATTTCTCCTCAATTTTATCCTCCAAACTTCTAACCCTTAATACTCTAAATACAAAACCAAATTGTAGGCAGTCCCATCCCCAATTTAATACTTAATTACCCTAGGAAATGAAATCGCAAGAACAGAAAGGCAAAGATCAATGTCTAGCATAATTATACAATTAATAATGCTCAACAAAATAATCATAATTTGATACTAAGACATATTTGAAGGATTACAGACCATGATCACTGAGTAGCTGGTATTACAGGGGCCTGCCACCATGCCTGGCTATTTTGTATATTTTTAGTAGAGACAGGGTTTCACCATGTTGGTCAGGCTGGTCTAGAACTTCTGACCTCAACTGATCTGCCGGCCTCAGGCTTCCAATTACAGGCATCAGCCACCACGCCTGGCCTGCCATTTCTTTATATTTGGATAACATAAGGACTTTAAGGCCCTTTCTCCTTTGGGTCAATCAATGATCTGCACAATACACATTTTATAAAACAAAGGAAAATACAGTCCTCACTCACATCCTGGTCCTGTCACTCCTAGTGACTCCCGCATTGCAACCCTCCCAGCAGGTACAGCCCTTTCCTCTCCATCTGACGGGCTTCTCAGCTCCCGTCACACTGAATGGACACAGACTCCCTAGAGGCTGCCCCCAAAAGCAGAAGACACAGATGACTCAGAAGTTCCTAAAAAGTCATCAAACCAGATGACACAAAACTCAAATGTCATTTCACTTTGTTTGGGTTTATTCTGTTTGAGACAAGAGTGCAGTGGGCATCCAACTAATCTTCTTTGGAGTCTTTTGTAGAGATGGGGTTTGTCTCTGATGTCCAGGCTAGTCCTAAACTCCTGGACTCAGGTGATCTGCCCACCTTAACCCCCCAAAGCACTGAAATTACAGGACTGCACTGTCTAATTTGCCACATGACACAGCCAAATAACAAAATAAAATAAAAAAACAAAACACCATGGGTCCAGCGTCTACTCATATGGGTGGACTGATGGCTGGGAAACCACAGGAGGGGCGAGAAGAGCAGCCATGGCACCCGCATGTCCTGGTCCTCTCAGGGCGCCCTGAGGTGGCCAGGACAGAGGTGGGGTGGCTTAGGGCTGGGGGAGGGAAGGGGATGGGGATGGGGTGGGATCTGAGTTGGGGAACGGGATGGGAGGGAAGGAGAGGGAGGGTAAGAGAGAATGTTGGGCACCTGGAGGAGTGGGTCTGGGAAAGGATCTGGTTCAAACTGAGTCTTCAAGGGCCAGGGGGAGGTTCAGCTACAAGTCAGAGAGAAAGTCTATCAGGAAGCCACAGGGCACGTGGGGCAAGAAAGCGGGAGGCTCAGGAGCAATGAGACAGAGACCAGCGCTCTGGTTTCCGCCACACCTTCTCCTGTCTGGGCGCTGCCTAAGCAACCCTGGGGCTTTATACTAACTCTCCACCAATCCCTGGCCCCGGAATGTGGTACGTCACAATGGACATTCCATGGAGCACACACGACCTCTACTGCCCCTCCCCAGTCTCATCCCCCCATGTCACTCCCAAGGACAGGTCCTCTCTGAAACCTTCACAGACGTGATTTCTGGCCTTCGCCACCAGCTTCCTGTCCCTGCTTCTGGGCGGCTCCTTCCTTCCTGAGCTCCCAGGGTTTCTCACGGTGAGTCTTGGATGCAAAACCTAAGAAACAGATGATGGCAGGACGGCAGGAAGAACCCCACACACGAGCAGAGTGGAAGCTCCACGGCCCCCTCTCAGCCATTCATATTCTAAGCAACGAAACACCAGAAGGATGCGGAAAGTCCCAATAGTAAACCATCTCCACCACATCCAGGGAGCCATCCGTCCATCATCCCGTATCTCGGGTACAAATGCTGGAGCCACGCTGGTTTCAAGCATGCATGCTACATTTACAAAAATTAACCCAACTTATTTTGTTCATCAAGCAAATCTCAATATATTTCAGACAAATCCAGTCACACAGCAGGTTTCTGATCACAGAATTGTGCTAGAAGTCAGTGATTAAAAGCTAACCAAAAATTATTATATGCTTGGAAATTCAAAGTGCCGTTATAAGATATCAACGGAAGAAAGAATCCAAAGTGAAACAAGACTGACTTTACGCTCAGTGAGAAGATCGTAACATGACAATCAAATGTCTCCCTCCGGCCCGGGAATCCCACTGTGTGGCACAAGGTTGTGTGGTCTCAAATCACCCCTTACATACCTAGACACGTTAACATCTGAAACAGGGTGATGATGTCACTTATCTATATTATCTTACTGCCTGTGAGGGTGGACTTTTAATTCTGAACCCTAATGAGGGGGAGAAAATCAAGTTGACTCTCACGGTTGAGCTCCCAGGGATGTCCAAGGAATCTGTGTATTTCAGGAGACAAAGTTCATCAGCCTCTTTCCTGGGGGATTTGGCCACAATACCCAGAGGGTTTGGCGGTATCGTGAGTGATGGTTAGGGAGTGCCAAGCTGGTGGGCAGGACCCAGGGGTCTGGTGACCAGGTCAGACCCCACTGTCCATTAGCTTTCCTGGCCCCATCCTCAGCTAAACTTCCCACAGGCCTGCCCCTGCCTGATCACAGTGTGCGCAAACTCGCTCAGGCCTCTCGCAGCTGAAAACCACTGCTTTCAGTGTCTTTACCATTTACTCTGATGTAAAGTTACTGTAAACTGCAAATATTCTATTCATGCCACAGATGGAAAGCAATGCCTTTACCACAAATAGAAAAACAACCCTGAGACACAAGGAAAACAAAAACAAAACGGATAACACGACCATGGCATTCAATTCTATTCGCATGCGGGTCGTCTTGTTTGTAAAAGGAGAGACCAAGTAAGTGGGTGCTGAAGTCAGATTAGCCCAAAAGTGAATGGCAGAGAGTACCATGATGTCCATGAAGGGTTGCTGGAGTCACCTTCATTATAGCCCAAGCAGAGACAGGGCAAGGAAGGAGATGTGAGCAGAATTTGGGGCCTCAAACAGGGGAGGTGATTCATGCAGCCCAGGAAAGGCTCCCCAAAGCCAGGGTCAGCCTTCCTTGCAGGCAGGTCCCTCGTGGAGGAAGACCCAGGCACCTGAGATTTGAGACCAGCTGTGTGACCCTGGGCTGGTTTCCTTCCCCACAATGTGAGTGTCAATGGCTGTGTCAAAGACTGTCTGAGGATAGGAGGAAGCAACCTGCTGAGCACCTGTGTACCGAGTGTCATCACATCCCAAGGACATCTTTCCTTCCAGAGCGGGCACCTTGGAAGGTCCTTGGCCACTAAAGGCAGTGATGATGATAACAGCAGCAAATCATCATTCATGGCTGACGATGGAGGGCCAGGGGTAAGGCTCCTAGGTCCTTGATAAGAATGAGGGTCTGGGGACTCCTGGGGACAGCTGAGTGAGTCCTGCAGGACTCCTGGGTCCCCAGGGGCCAGGTCTGTCTTCAGTGGCACTGGGCCTAGGCTGGGATGCCAGGGCAGCCACTGGCGCATCAGCAGGACAAACAGGCACAGAGGCAGTGGAGGTGGCAGGTGTAGGATCATCTGTCCACCAAGCCTGGCTGACCACTGCCCCCGCAGACGATGCCCTGTCCCTTGCCTCACACTTTGGCAGGGCAGTGGCTGGCACCTGGGGACTCACAGAGCATCACTCTAAGACCTCTGTGTCCTGGTCATTGAATAGGCACTTGAATCACCCAGGGCCACTGGAACAAGGAGGAAGAATCAGGCCCCACGGTGTTTGGGGACCATGTTTAGCACAGGAAAATGCACAGAATGCATGCACGACACAGGGGAACCGGTGGTGTGGGAGCCAGTATTCCCGTGATCTCCAGCCCTAATCCGAGCACTGTCACCTGTGCAATCTGAAAGAAACAGGAGACCTGCAGGAAAGACAGTGCCTGGATTTAACGTAAAAGAACTAAAATGTTGAACGTTCACACTCCTGATATCCTTCCAAATCAACTCTCTCAATGCTCCCATCTTCACCACTACCATATGGGGTAACTGAGGCAGTCAGAGATTTACTCACTCAGTGCCACTCAGCTGATTCTCAGTTCACTGCTGATCACAACTCAACAAACTGCTTTTTCTGAAGTTTACCCTGTTTGATCATGCTGCTGCTGATTTTGTGCCGCTCTGGGACAAGCTCCACCTGGTTGAGGATAAAGCAAATGCACAGTGACTCAGTCCTGCTGTCATTTCCCATCAATTCCCCACTCTCCTCTGCCCTCCACAGGCCCCGGCACAGGCTGACACCGTATGGTGGCCCTAATGGACTCCACTGAGTACTTCAGCTGGACTCTATTAGGCCCTCTGGGCCCCGTGAAGGTGGAGGTAGTTATGGGATTTGCTTTGACTCAGGAGATGTGAGTGGAAGTGAAGTGTGTCACCTCGAGGCAAAAGAGTTGGAAGTCATTGAGACTGGCCACCCTGTCCTTCATCTCTTAGAGCCGTTGATAGGTGCCATGTAGAGGCTGCTCCTTTATTTTGGTGGCAGATGAAGAGATGTGGAGGACAGGGCCCAGGAGAGCCATGGAGGACGTGCAGCATGAGCAGACAAAGAGCCTTCAGTGCTGTAAATTTCCATTTTGGGGGGCTGTTTATTACCTACAGTGATACCTGGTCCATCCTAGCAGGCACACACCATCTATTCCATGCTCTGTGAAGTAGACTAGCCTACTGTCAGAACATCCACTGGTAAGACACATAAGGTTTCAGTTCCAGCTCTGCCTCTTATTAACTGCAACCTCAGGCCTTTAACTTTCAGTTTCTGAGCCTCAGTTTCAACTATGTAAAATGGGTTGTTTATACTACTTCTGGTTGTGGAGACATGAAATAAAAATGCATGTAGAACATTGAACCCAGGGCCTGGAACACACAGTGAGTACTTTCAATCTTTATTTTTAAACAGATAGGATAAAAATATGAATATTCTTTCACATCCAGTGTTTTTTCTCTTAATAGTATATTGTTAAAACATTTTTATCTTGGGCCCGTCATGTTGGCTCATGCCTGTATTCCCAGAACTTTGGGAGGCCAAGGCAGGTGGATCACGAAATCAGGAGTTTGAGACCACCCTGGCCAATATGGTGAAACCCTAGTCGCTACTAAAAATACAAAAATTAGCCCGGTGTGGTGGCATGCACCTGTGTCCCAGCTACTTGGGAGGCTGAGGCAGAAGAATCGCTTGAACCTGGGGGGTGGGGGCTGCAGTGAGCCAAGATCATGCCATTGCACTCCAGTCTGGGAGACAGAGTGAGACACTCTTTCAAAAAGAAAAAAAAAAAAAATATATATATATATATATATATATATATATATATATACACACACACACACACATATAATCTCAAAAACAAAAAATCGTTTATGAAATCATCTTAAATGACAAGATAATGTTTAATTTAATGAATAATTATTACTATTGGACATTTTGTAGATTGCACAGAACATTCAAAACAAATGGAGAATAAAAAATGTATTACATGTAAAATAAATGTGATTTTATTATTTTATTCAAAAATATAGAACTATATATGTAATATAAAATGTATTTCTAATTATGAATCATGTTAAAAATAGTTTAGAAGCTGCTGATTTTGATTTGTTTCAAATTTTGCAAAATAATTTTTTTTTTTTTTTAAAGACAGAGTCTTCCTCTGTCACCAGGCTGGAGTGCTGTGACGTAATCTCGGCTCACTTCAACCTCTGACTCCCAGGTCCAAGCGATTCTCCTGCCTCAGCCTCCCAAGTAACTTAGTCTACAGCCACGTGCCACTTGCCTGGCTAATTTTGTGTAGTTAGTAGAGATGGGGTTTCTCCATGTTGGTCAGGCTGGTCTTGAACTCCTGACCTCAGGTGATCCACTCGACTCAGCCCCCAAAGTGCTGGGATTGCAGACATGAGCCACAACTCCCTGCCTAAATTTTGCAGGATAATAAACAGCCTTTTGAAGTACCGCTGGGCACTTGTCTGGTTGTTTTTCTTCAGGTTAAGATGCCAGCGATGATTCCGTCTGACTTTCTGACCAAGATAGCGGTTTTTATCCAAATCAGTCAACGACTCTACCCCTAAGCCACTTGCATCCCTAAGCCACTTGCATGGAAGCAAAAGGAGGAAAAAGCCAGTACTGTGACTGCCTACACTTCCCCCAGCATGGCCCCCTGTGAGATGTGGGGCAGCTGAGACCAGGAGCTGTTCAAGGGCACCAGGCCCCGTCTGTCTGTGCTCACTCACCTTTCTCAGGTACTCACATGGGGGATGGCACTGACTTTACGTGCTGCTGCGGCTCCTTGGTGAACTGGCCCTGGTCATGGGACAGGAACTTGGGAGTAAGGACAATAGAGGGCTTCACCATCTGCAGAATGGGAACAGAAGCTCGTGATGAGTGCTAACCTATTAGGTAATTTAAAAAACAGTTTGTTGAATGAGTGGAAAAACAAGGTGAGGCTTGAGTCTACAGTGGTCAAGAGCGTGGGGGAGCCTCAGAAAAGGTCAGAACTGAGTTCAAATTCCTGTACTTTGAATTTCAACTTCATGCCATGCAAAATTACTTTACCCCTCCTCACCTCAGTTTCCTTCTGTGTGGAATGGAAACAATTTCATTCCTCACCCAGTTTCTGTAAAGGATTCTAAAACACCCAGCTTATTGAAATGTATCATCCTTTCTGTCACAACTTGTGGGATCCATTTCACTATTTTTGAATATATAGTTCTGTGCCTGAAACCTACAAAAAAAGAGAAGATCTTACCTCTAAAAAGTGTCAGTGATTTGTCATTGTTATATTATGACTCATAATCATATTTAATCACACAAGGCCTTGTACATCAGGGGTTCAAAAAACACTTGTTCAGTCAATGCATGTGGGCTCCGCAGCCAGAGGGTTTAGGTCCTATTCGGCCTCCACCACTTATTAGCTGAGTGATGTGAGCAAGATAATTCATGCCTTTGTGTCTCCGTGTCCTTCTCTATAAAAGATGTATACTAAGAATCCCTAGCTCTTTAGGTTGTTGCCAGGGGTGAGTGATTTGGCACATAGTAGGGGCTTGTTAAACATAGCTGTGATGGACTCCTTCCAAACCGTCCTTTTCAGAGCCACAGATGAGGTCACAGTGCCACCTGGTGACCATGGAGTGTAAGTACACATGATGGCCAATAGGCTCTCTCTCCACCACAGGTCCAGACTGCGTAGTTACCTCCTGGAGGTTTCTGCTGCATCTGCCTTCTCAGTGCTCATGTAAAGACTTCTGTAGTTTCCTACTCGCATTCCCGCAGATGAGGTTCAGGTTGCCTGACACAGCTGGGTGATCCACGCAGGGCAGTGACTGCCTGTGCCAGCCCTGTGATGTCGCTGGAGGATCGTTGTTCCTTTCTTCTCATGTTCTGGGGCAGATGCTAGGGCTGGGGTGACCCATGTCCTCAAGTTTCTTGCTTTGGAGGGTCACATTTTCTTTTGGCAAGGAAGGCAAAGGTCACAGGAAGCCAGAGACTGGTGACCTCTTTGTGCCGTGGATTCAAACTATAAAGACCTGAACATTCGATGCTAAAAGCCCAAGACTCAGGTGCTCCCCAGGACTTCTCGCCTCATGGCCTCTGCTGAGGGAGGATGAATACTATGTCCTTCCAGAGCTTTGGGAGCTTGTAGCAAGCAGCCTCCCCAGCACAAAATATTTTGGAAACCTCGAACTGTGTCTAAAACATTCCTGCACATTTTGCATCCTATTTCCCATATGTCAGAGTGTTTTAGGGAAAAAAAACCCTAAATTTCCTAAATATGCAAGAGAAATGGATATTGTAGGACAATGTGACTTTTAAAAACATGTCATTTAGGCTGGGAATGGTGGCTCATGCCTGTAATCTCAGCACTTTGGGAGGCTGAGGTGGGCGGATCACCTGAGGTCAGGAGTTAAAGACCAGCCTGACCAACAAGGAGAAACCCCATCTCTACTAAAAACACAAAATTGGCTGAGTGTGGTGGTGCATCCCTGTAATTCCAGCTACTTGGGAGGCTGAGGCAGGAGAATCACTTAAACCTGGGAGGCAGAGGTTGCAGTGAGCCGAGATCACGTCATGGCACTCCAGCCTGGGCAACAAGAGCAAAACTCCATTTCGAAAAACAGACAAAAAAACAGAGTCTCAGAATGATGAAGCTCTTTGTCCAATGTGACTCAGCTAGTAAGTGTTGAGATCTTGCAGCCAATCAAAGCCCATCTCATTCTAAAGGCCATGCTGTGTGTTCTCTGGCCCATGGAGAATAATTTTAACACAATGACATTTCTACACAACAGTGTTCTTGTCTCAAGTCCAAGAGTGCCTCCTATACCTTCTATAACACTGGTGTTTTGGTCACTAAAGATGCCATTCTAATGTGTTATCATATGGCCAATGGAGATATGACCAATGTCATCATGTGTGTACACCCATAACCCTGTACACACTCTTCCTTTGTCTTATGAAATTCAAGTACCCTTTCTGATTACTTAGTAAAACTAAGCTTTGAAGGGGTTAAGGTTTCACTGGGTGCGGTGGCTCACGCCTGTAATCCCAACACTTTGGGAGGCTGAGGTGGGTGGATCATGAGGTCAAAAGATCGAGACCATCCTGGCCAACATGGTGAAACCCCATCTCTTCCAGAAATACAAAAATTAGCTGGGCATAATGGTGCGCACCTGTGGTCCTAACTACTTGGGAGGCTGAGGAAGGAGAATTGTTGGAACCAGGGATGGAGAGGTTGCAGTGAGCTGAGGTCATGCCACTGCACTCCAGCCTGGTGACAGAGAAAGATTCTGTACATATATATAAAGGGTGAAGGTTTTCATATCCATGGAACATTCTGTATTGCTTTTGAAGTCTCTGGTTAAATAAATATTCTTCTAATAGTGACCTGTGATTTTGTTTTGATCAAATGTTTTCAGACTTGACATTTTTGACGGGCTTCTCCAGCATCAAAATCCTAAATCAAGTCCTTTTGCCTTAAAATTAACTTTGGGATTTTTCAGCTGGGTCCCTCAGGGAGTCTAATGAATGTGTCTCTCATCTTGTAAAGATATTAAATGATACAATTTAGTTGGTAGATTGTATGCGTGGGCATTGTGGTGATGCTGCGGGGGAGGGCACTGTCAAACAAGGTGACATTGGATCTCATCTCAGTTATATTTATGTGTATGTTGTTGATATATGTTCCAAAAATTATATACATTTATGCAAATTGAATGTTATGATTTGTACTTTTGATTGTTATGCTAAATACTGCTAAAGTTACATTTGTATAAACATGTTATTGATGTCTGGGCATGGTCACTCACACCTGTAATCCCAGCATGTTGGGAGACAGAGACAGGTGAATAACCTGAGGTCAGGAGTTCAAGACCAGCCTGACCAATACGGTGAAACGCCGTCTCTACTAACAATACAAAAATTAGCCGGGCGTGGTGTCAGGCACCTGTAATCCCAGCTACTTGGGAAGTTGAAACGGGAGAATCACTTGATCCCAAGAGGCGGAGGCTGCAGTGGTCTGAGATCAGGCCTATTGCACTCCAGCCTGGGCAACAAGAGTGAAACTCCATCACAAAAAGAAAAAAGGTACAAAAATTAGCCCGGCATGGTGGCACATACCTGCAGTCCCAGCTACTCAGGAGGCTGAGACAGGAGAATTTCTTGAACCCAGGAGGTGGAGGTTGCAGTAAGCTGAGATGGTGCCATTGCACCCTAGCCTGGGCAACAGAGCAAAATTCCATCTCAAAACAGAACCACAAAAAAAAAGTTATGTATTCAGAGGATTATATGAAATTTACAACAGTCTGGTGGTCCTGATGTGATGCTGCCAGTCAGGATTCTGGTTACTCTCTTGATATACTGCACATAAGACTACTAACTAAATTTCCTTCAGAATTGGGAACGTTCAGCAGATTTTCATCATAACTATTGATTCCATCATCCACATTTATTGTTTTGAATTCTTCTCTAAAAATATTTGTAATCAGCAACAGTCCAAATTCAAATTTTCTTTCTTTTAAGATAGAATCTTGCTCTGTCACCTATGCTGGAGTGCAGTGGTGCCATCTCTGCTCACTGCAACCTCTGTCTCCTGGGTTCAAGCAATTTTCCTGCCTCAGCCTCCCAAGTAGCTGGGACTACAGGCACCGGCCACCAAGCCCAGCTAATCGGTGGCAGTTGAGACAGGGTTTCACCATGTTGATCAAGCTGGTCTCCAACTCCTGACCTCGTCATCTGCCGCCCACCTCAGCCTCCCAAAGTGCTGCGATTACAGCCATGAGTCACCATGCCTAGCCCCCAAATTTGCTTTTCATGGAAAAAAACTCTACCAAGTCCTCTTGAACACAGGTTTCTGATAATTCACAACAATGAACTACCCAGGCCTCACCACTATGCAATACAGGCATGTCAGAAACTCACACATACACCCCTTCAATACATTAAAAATAAATTAAAGAAAAAATCAAAGGCCTGGGTCCAGTGGCTCACGCCTGTAATCCCAGCACTTTGGGAGGCCAAGGCAGGCAGATCACTTGTGGTCAGGAGTTCGAGACAAGCCTGGCCAACACGGTGAAACCCTGTCTCTACTAAATATACAAAAATTAGCCAGGCATGGTGGTGCATGCCTGTAATCCCAGCTACTAGGGAGGCCAAGGCACGACGACTGCTTGAACCTGGGAGCCAGAGGTTGCAGTGAGCCAAAACTGTGCCACTGCACTCCAGCCTGGGTGACACAAAAGGAGACACGATCTCAAAAATAAAAATAAAAATAAACTAGAAAACAATTTATAGAACGCTAATAAGGAAACTTGTGTTCAAAAAACTGCTAAGTGAGATGAAGCAAAACAAAAAATCCATTAAGATAATGTCTTTACAACTATAACTTGTAGTTAAAACATTGTTGATTTATTACTTTTTTGGGGGTGGGGGGGGACGGAGTCTCACTCTGTCGCCCAGGCTGGAGTGCAGAGGCACGATCTCGGCTCACGGCAACCTCCACCTCCTGAGTTCAAGCTATGCTCCTGCCTCAGCCTTCCAAGTAGCTGGGACTGCAGGCGCTCCCCAGCACACCCACCTAAGAGACGGAGTTTCGCTCTTGTTACCCAGGTTGGAGTGCAATGGCGCGATCTCGGCTCACCGCAACCTCTGCCTCCTGGGTTCAGGCAATTCTCCTGCCTCAGCCTCCTGAGTAGCTGGGATTACAGGCACGCGCCACCATGCCCAGCTAATTTTTCGTATTTTTCGTAGAGACGGGGTTTCACCTTGTTGCCAGGCTGGTTGCAAGCTCCTAATTTCAGGTGATCCCCATTCTACCCTCCCCACGCCTAGTACTACCATAGTGCCGGATCACAGGCGTGAGCCACTGCGCCCCGCCCTTTACTGGTTTTGTTTTCTAGATTTAAGGAACTTTTTTTTTCATAAGTTATCTATGATCTACACCGACTTGGTAAAGCACTTCTGTGAACAGAGGTGGGTGGAAGCATTTGTTTTTCCTCCCTACTTGATCCCTCCAAAGTTTGGAACCTATTCATAAATATTCTTATTTTCTGCTCATATGTTCTCATTATCAGCAGGCGATAATCAGAAAATGATTCTATTATCAACCTTTGACTGAAGCATCCTATTTAAGAACATGCAGAAAATGCCTGGCCCCGAGTTTGCAGACTCACAGTGAGGAAAAGTGTCCCTCCCTGCAGGCGGGAGAGCCTTAGTACTTTCCAGGGAGCAACATGGCAGGGAGGGTCCCGGCAGCTGCTCGTGGGCAGGAACCAGTGGGCGCAGCCCCGGGGCGACCCTCTGGCTGGCGGCACCTTTTGCTTCCTGGCGTCTTTCTCCTCGCCCCGCCGGCTGCTGGGGAAGCCGCGGCTGCCCAGTGCCTGGAGGTCGCTCCATCACCTCCTTCCGCCGCGGGAAGAGAGAGGCGGTGGAGGCCGGAGTGGGGTGGGCGGCCTGCGGCGAGAGCCCGGCTGGCCACCGCGGGGAACATGGCGACCTGGGCAGCAGGGGCCTCGGCGGCTGCACCGCTAACTTCCCGGAGGAGCAAAGGCGCCTCGCGAGACAATGCAGCTGAGTGGAACCCCGGCCCTGCCGCCCCAGGAGGGGGCAGCAAAGACACAGCCAGGAAGCCCCGAGCAGGGCGCTGGGCACCAACAGGCGCCACAGCGACCTCCAGGCGGCGCCCACACCAGCTTCCCGGGGGCGCCGCACCAACCTCCAGGCGGCACCCACGCTAGCCTACAGGGCTGCACCTGCCGGCACCACACTAGGGCGGGAACTGTGCTGTCGCCCGCCACACTGATCCAGGCGGCCCAGGCCCGCAGCAGCCGAAGGACAAGCCACGCCCACTGCCCCTGGGTGATAAAGAGGAGCAGGATGGCACCCTAGAGCGATTTTCCTGCCTCAGTCTCCTGAGTAGCTGGGATTACAGGCACACTTCACCACACCCAGCCAATTTTTGTATTTTTAGTAGAGACAGAGTTTCACTGTGTTAGCTATGCTGGTCTTGAACTCCTGGCCTCAAATGATCCTCCAGCCTCGGCCTCCCAAAGTGCTGGGATTACAGACATGAGCACTGCACCCGGCGCAACCCCCATTCTCAATAGCTTACAACAACAAAGGTTGATTTCTGTCCCACACGACACATCCACAGCAGCCTAACATTTGTCTGCATTAGAAACATCAAGAGTCCTGTGGCAAAAAGAAGAGACACCCAGCCACTTGCTGACTCTGAAAGTTTCTGGTAAAAAGTGACACAGGTGGCCAGGCATGGTGGTTCACACCTGTAATCCCAGCACTTCGGGAGGCTGAGGCCTTCAGATCACCTGAGGTCAGGAGTTTGAGACCAGTCTGGCCAACATGGTGAAACCCCATCTCTACTAATAATACAAAAATTAGCCAGGTGTGGTGGCACATACCTGTAATCCCAGCTACTAGGGAGGCTGAGGCAGAAGAATCGCTTGAACCTGGGAGGCGGAAGTTGTGGTGAGTTGAGATCGTGCCATGCACTCCAGCCTGGGTGACAGAGTGAGACTTTCTCTCAAAAAAAAAAAAAGTGACACAGATTCCTCCTAGCCACGTCACTGATCTAAGCAAGACACACGCAAACACTGTAAACACCAGTACATGCCAGACAGCTGAAAGTTTTTGTTTCCTTTTGCTTTTTTTCTTTTTCCTACCAAGATTCACTCTCCACCTTTCTTCTCTCTTTCAATAACCGTCCACAGTTTTACTTTCTTTACTCTAAAAAAATGCTGGCCGGGTGCAGTGACTCGTGCCTGTAATCTCAGCACTTTAAGCCGAGGTGGGTGAATCACTTCAGGTCAGAAGTTCAAGACCAGCCTGACCAACATGGTGAAACCCTGTGTCTAGTAAAATTAAAAAAATATATACAAAATTAGCCCAGCAAGGTGGTGCACGCCTGTAATCCCAGCTACTTGGGAGGCTAAGGCAGGAAAACTGCTTGAATCCCAGAGGCGGAGGTTGCAGTGAGCTGAGATCTCACCCTTGCACTTCAGACTGGACAAAAGGAGCAAAACTCGGTCTCAAAAAAATAAAAATAAATAAATAAAGGAAAGGAAAAGAAGAAAATGCTTTCTTCCACCTGATAGAAGCCAGAAGAAAATGTCATTTTTCCTGGTATGAGATTCATGCCCAGATTGTCCACCAGGTGGAGTCCTGCACCAGCTTTCTCTGACATCTAGTGCAGGAATTTCCTCTTGCACACTAGCTTTTTCACGTCTCTTGGACTTTGCCTACGGAGGTCTCTCTGCCTAACACGCCTTCTCTGCACGTCTCACTATTAACCCCCTGCTTCATTTATTTGTTTTATTGTTTGAGAAAGTGTCTGACTTTGTCACCCAGGCTGGAGTGCCATGGTGCGGTCAATTTGAGTGAGTCTCAAATTCCTGGGCTCAAGCAATCCTCCCATCTCAGCCTCCCAAGCAGGTAGACATCACCACCACTGGCTACATTTTTAATTTGTGTGTCGGGGGGTGGGGTGGGGGCGGGTAAAGACGGGGTGTCCCAGTGTTGGCCAGGCTGGTCTCAAACTCCTGGACTACAGCAATCCTCCCACCTAAGCTTCCCAAAGTGCTGGGATTACAGGCATGAGCCACCTTGCCAGCCTGCCATAAATCTTTACAGGACATGTAGGGACCAATGGCTTTTCTTTCGTAGCTTCTTCATGCTGCCTATCAGGGATCATGGAAGTGTCACCCTGCTCTGTCTAGTGGAGGTGGGTGGCTGCTTGATCTTGATGGCCAGGGGTGATGTCTTCACCTGGAACCAGCTGGATTTCTTGTCACATGATCATCTGAAGCTTGATAGTCTCTAGATGAGAGGAAATGACTTTGATTAAAATATTTAATGGAAACTTCAAGGGGTGGATACTTCTGCTGTCAGATTTTTTTTTTTTTTAAATTCAGATGGAGTTTCACTCTTGTTGCCCAAGCTGGAGTGCAATGGGGCGATGTCGCCTCACTGCAACCTCCACCTCCCGGGTTCAAGCAATTCTCCTGAGTAAGCTGAGACTACAGGCGTGCACCACAACACCTGGCTAATTTGTTTTGTTTTGTTTTGTTTTGTTTCGAGACAGTGTCTCCTTCTGTCGCCCAGGCTGGAGTGCAGTGGCACTATCTCAGCTCACTGCCACCTCCACTCTGGGATTCAAGCAATTCTTCTGCCTCAGCCTTCCAAGTAGCTGGGACTACGGGCTTGCACCACCATACCAGCTAATTTTTTAAGTTTTAGTAGAGACGGGGTTTCACCATATTGAAACCATAGGCCTTTCACACCATAGGCCAGTGTGAGCCATCGTACCCGGGCTAATTTTTCTGTATTTTTAGTAGAAACTAGGTTTCCCCCATGTTGGTTAGGCTGGTCTTGAACTCCTGACCTCAGGTGATCCACCCATTTAGGCCTCCCAAAGTATTGGGATTACAGGTGTGAGTCACCGCACCTGGCCTCCCTCCTTTTTTTTTTTTTTTTTTTGAGACGGAGTCTTACGGTGTCTCCCAGACTGGATTGCAGTGGCAAAATCTCAGCTCACTTCAACTTCCCCCTCCCAGGTTCAAGCGATTCTCCGGCCTCAGCCTCCTGAGTAGCTGGGATTATAGGAGTGTGCCACCACACCCGGCTAAGTTTTATATTTTTGATAGAAATGGGGTTTCACCATGTTGACCAGGCTGGTCTCAGGCTCCTGACCTCAGGTGATCCACTGGCACTGGCCTCCCAAAGTGCTGGAATTACACACGTGAGCCCACCCCACCCCCACCCAGGTAAATTTCCTGATTACACAGGATGTATGGTGATATTGGTGGACTTAAGGACATGGAATTGTGTATTAGGAATAAAATGTTCATTATGTGGGTTTTCTGCAGCCCTGGCTGACACAGTAGCATTCAGGGTAGACTGAGTAGGAAAAATGTAGGGTTGGTCAACTATTTATTTGTTTTTGTTTTTCTAATTTTCATTCATTTGCTGTTTATTCTCCTCTGGGTTTGCTTCTGTGTGCATACATATAAAACCATGATTTTTTTGTTTGTTTGTTTCTAGTGGAGGGCTTTTATTTGGTTCTATGAATAGTTATTTTGTTTCCTATGTGTTTCTAGCAAGTCATTATTTGTTCCATTTATCTAGAATTCCTAGGCTACCTTTGTCTGGCCTGTAGGAGTTCATGGAGCACACCAGCTTTTAATTTTTAATTTTTATTTTATTTTTTGTTTTTGAGACAGAGTCTCTCTCCATCACCCAGGCTGGAGTGCTATGGCGTGATCTCAGGTCACTGCAACCTCCGCCTCAGAGGTTCAAGCTATTCTCCTGCCTCAGCCTCCAGAGAAGGTGCCCACCACAACACCTGCCTAATTTTCTGGGTTTTGTTTGTTTGTTTTGAGACGCAGTTTCACTCTTGTTGCCCAGGCTGGAGTGTAATGTCGCAATCTCGGCTCACTGCAACCTCCGCCTGCTTGGTTCAAGCGATTCTCCTTTCTCAGCTTCCTGAATAGCTGGGATTACAGGCGTACACCACTGTGTCTGGCTAATTTTTTGTATTTAGTAAAGACAGGGTTTCACCATATTGGTCAGGCTGGTTTGGAACTCCTGACCTCAGGTGACCCACCCTCCTCAGCCTCCCAAAGTGCTGGGATTATGAGTGTGAGCCACCGTGCCTGGCTATTTTTTTTTTCCGAGATGAGTTTCACTCTTGTTGCCCATGCTGGAGTGCAATGGCATGATCTCAGCTCATGGCAACCTCTGCCTCCCGGGGTGAAGCAATTCTCTTGCCTCAGCCTCTCAGGTAGCTGGGATTACAGGCATGCACCACCATGCTTGGCTAATTTTTTTTATTTTTAGCGGAGATGGGGTTTCTCCATGTTGGTCAGGCTGCTCTTGAACTCCTGACCTCCAGTGATCCACTTGCCTCAGCCTCCCAACATGCTGGATTACAGGCATGAGCCACCGCACCTGGCCAATTTTTGTATTTTTAGTAAAAACGGGATTTTACCATGTTGGCCAGCTGGTCTTGAGCTCCTGACTTCAGGTGTTCTGCCCACCTCAGCCTCCCAAAATGCTGGCATTACAGGCATGACCCACTGTGCTGGGCCAATTTGTGTAATTTTAGTAGAAATGGGGTTTCACCATGTTGGCCTGCTGGTCTGGAACTCCTGACCTCAGCTGATCCACCTGCCTCGGCCTCCCAAAGTGCTGGGATTACAGGCATGAGTCACCATGCCTGGCCAGGAATGTAAATTTTTGTAAACCTGTAATATACTTAGTAGGCTTTCCAAAATCAAATTTCAGCTTTAAAATTGTCTTTTCTGACTTCGAATTTTGGGATGCTATAGAGGACTTCTGAAACATCCAAAAGAGAGGTAAATGAAATTATTTGACATGTTTAGTTACACGGGAAGCATTGTCAAAATAAAAAATATTTCCTTTGGGAGGTCAAAGCGGGTGGATCACCTGAGGTCAGGAGTTCGAGACCAGCCTGGCCAACATGGTGAAACCCCACCTCTACTAAAAA